TATATATATATATATATATAAAGTCTTTGTCTATTAAGACCAACATCTGGGGCACCCTGGGGTCAGGTTCTATTAATTGCGTTTCCTCTTAACTGTTGAGTCACATTTTCTTGTTTCTTCAACTATCTAGTAATTTTCATTTACTGAACATTGTGGATGATATATCATAGAGACTATGGATTGCATAATCTTCCTCTGAAGACTTGATGTTTGTTTAAGAAGGAGTTAACTTTTCTGAACTCAAACTCCAAACTGTCTTTTGTGCTGAGGAGGTGAATCTTTTTACAGTTCTTCAGCCTCCCGCCTACTGTTTTCCACCAGATTCTCCCTCACACAAACGTAGTTCAAGAGTCAGCCAAGTATATTTGGACTGAGTTTACAGAGATTTTGAGGCTCCTTCTTATGTAACACCCTTTTCCCAAGATAACCCCCTACTCCCCTTACTTTTTAACTTTGCTAACATCCCTGAACTCTGTCCTCCGACTACATCAGCTGGTAAGCCTGCACAAACTAGGGGTACTGTTAGGCAAAAAGTCAAAGAAACACAAATCTCATCCAGTGCAGTTTCCTTCTTTCAAGATCTGACTCCCCTCAGTTTCTGCCTGCTTTTGGTCATCCTCCAGGGCCTACAAATAGTTGTTTTTCTTTCATATTTAATACAATTTAATAATGGTTATCTGCAGGAGGGATAATCTGAGACAAGCAACTTCACCAGTACTGGGATGCCAATTAGGATTTTTAAATGTGACAATTTTATTGGCACTAGAGATTATTATATTCATCTCGATCTTGACATATCCATCTCTCCTAATCCGTATGTATAGCAGCCAATACAAACCAACCAACCAACCAAACAGTTTCTATTAGTCACTTCTTCCATGCCTAAAGAAAAACTTCTCCATGGTATAATGAAAATAATGTGGACTTTGCAATCAGAGAAATCATTTGCTAACTGCATGAACTTGGAAAGATTATTTACCCCTTTATGCTTTTCCAGTTGAATTATGGAGGTGGTCATTTAAATCTCATAGAACTGTTAGAAGATTAAATGCTTACATTACAAAGTATGTAGCAAGTGCTAAAAACAAACAAAAAGTGTTGGTTACTTTCCCTTAGACCTGTTCCTCTATTTCAGCAGTGGAAAGAAAAGGAATTCCTAACCCATGACCACCTTTTACTTGTCACTTTATCCCATTAGTAACATTTAATTAAGTTTACTTTATAAGGATGAACGAACACAAGAGAGAAAGAACAAATTTCACTTGGTGAACAAACACTAGGAAATAGTAGGGACTGTCCCAGGGGACACTGAATCCAGGGAGGATCCACACCTCCACAGAATCTCAGTTACGCAAGTTAGAGGCAGTGGGATAGCTGGCAATGCAAAAGACATCTTTATCACAGTACATGTAAATGGAAAAGTGTCTTTCTGTGGATAAGTAATCTAATAAGCAAACTATTAATAAGAAAAGCAAGGCATATTTCAAAAGTGAAATAGAAGAACAGGTAAATACGAAAATATCTTTTAAAATATAAATCATACATTTAACTAAATTTTTAAAAACTTATTGTGCTTCCTCCTGCTTACATGAGTAAGTTTTTTCCCTTGTAAAGAAACAAAAAAGTCAGAATGGTACAGGATTATATTTTATCAATTTTTAAAATTAAGAATAAGGGGCCGGCCGAGTGGCTCAGTTGGTTAAAAGCTTGTACAAGAGTGCGAGCTCTGGGCCAGCCGAGTGGCGCGATGGTTAAGAACTGGCTTGGGATGCCAGAGGGCCCCGGTTCGGATCCCACATATGAGGGCCAGTGACACTGCCCTCCACA